GGGGGGGGGGGGGGTATTCTGTACACACTGTTACCTCGGAGGTAAATGTGTGATATTTGGCTGTATGAATAGAATGTGATTGATTGATTGATATTAGGGACAAGTGGTAGCTGCTGACGCCAATCAAACTGATGAGACAGAATCCAGTATTTGACTTGTAAAGGTGGGGGGAGCATCTGTCCTCTGCACTGACATGAAGGGACGCGGCAATCACTGCTCTAATCTGCCAATCCTTACAATCCTCTTACTGCCTCCCACCCAGCTATTCCTGTTTCTGTGTCAGCGGACACACACACACACACACACACACACACACACACACACACACACACACACACACACACACACACACACACACACACACACACACACACACACACACAGAGATTATTACACTGCACTCCTCCTCCAAAATATCCTCCCCCGTCAACATGTCCTGGTTCCACAGAGAGACACTCAGGTGGCCACACATTTGGATCACATGATGAAAGTGAGCTCGCTGTGGGGCTGATGACGGTATTTGTGGAAGACATAATGACAGAGGGAGCAGAATGTATCTTACCTTTCTCATGGTTGAGAGTTTGGGCTATATTGCTTACATAACATGTTGTAGTAGTAAGAACAAGTAAGAATACATCTACACGTGTACCTAAAATACACATGTAGGTGTTTATTTCTCAGTTTTTCTTATAAATTCAATAAAAGTTAGTATTAGAAAAGGCCTAATGTGCGCATCTAAACATAGATTACTTATACTTTTCACCTGGGGTGTATCCCCTAAAGGACGAATGATTTGATTTACCAACAAACATTTCCATTGGGGTGCATCAGATGTTTGTGTTGGAGGAAGGCTGGAGACAAGGAGGGCGAGGCCAGGTGAAGCAGCTGGTAAACAGGATTAGGAGGAAGTGTGTGGGAAAGAATGGGACGCCACCTGACCTGAAGCTTTACGGCGTGACAAACAACAACAGGTGGCTGCTGATGTGCAGAATGATCCCAATCCAGATGCAAAGTTTGATTTAGACATTTTGAAAATAACTAATTCATTTCAACAGATGTAATCATAGGGAGATTCAGAGGGGTGAAACAGGTTAGTATTCATAAACCTTATTTAATGTCTCTCAGAAAACAATCCCAAATGGATCTCAAGATGATGTGTGCCCCGGACGGTCCTAACTCACAGGTTGGGATGTCTGTCTTCCAATATTGGTGTGTCCATAAACTTTAAAGAGGACACATCACAAGAAACTCACTTGTGATTGTTCGATGACATCCTGGTACCTGGACTGCCTCTCAACCAACCAGAGCCAGAGACTTCTCTCTCATCCCTGGAAACCACACCAAGGCTCTGAGCAGGAAGTGCTTTTATTATGTTCAGAGTGCTCAGTGAGCTGAAGAGTGGTGATAGCTCATGCGGTTAGTCGCTGCAGTAACTCAAAAACATTTTGTGTATCAATAGTTTTTCCTCTCCTCTAAACTACCGAAAAGATACCCAGTAGGTTACTTACAAAAATACTTATGGCCTAAATAATTCTGTAAATGTCCCAATTGCTAGCCTGCTCCTTTGTTCCACTGTATCTTAGCAACTGGTTCGTTTTTTGATTGTATGTCTTGATTTATACAACACCATAATGGAAATTGAAATACATGGTAAATGTCAGGGAATGTCACAGAAATTGCAGGCTGTATTATAAAGTAAGGGCTCAGTTTGTAAACTAGATTGTCTGCAGATGCTCAATGGTTCGAAATCCCTGGAGACCAAAATAATATATATGTTGTGTGGACAGCAGCTGGTTTGCAAACTAACAAACCTGAGCCTCAGCCCCTTTCTCTGCAACTGGCTGCTGGACTTCCTCACTGCCAGACCCCAATCTGTACGGGTCGGCAACAACACATCAGGCACCATCACACTGAGTACAGGGGCCCCCCAAGGATGTGTGCTCAGTCCCCTGCGCTTCACCCTGCTGACCCACGACTGCACACCCACCCACAGCTCCAACCACTTCATCAAGTTTGCGGATGACACAACCGTGGTGGGTCTCATCAGCAACAACGATGAGACCCACTACAGGAAGGAGGTCTTTCTCAATGTGGAGAAAACAAAAGGGATTGTTGTTGACTTCAGGAGAGCCTACACCCAACACCCCCACCCACTGACCATTGGTGGTGCTGCTGTAGAGCAGGTGAGCAGCACCAAATTCCTGGGGGTGCACATCACCGAGGACCTATCCTGGACCAACAACACCACGTCAATCACCAAGTAAGCCCAGCAACGCCTTTATTCATCACAAACTGAAGAAAGCAGGACGCCACCCCCCATCATGCTCTCCTTCTACAGAGGCGCCATCGAGAGCATCCTCAGCAGCTGCATCACGCTGTGGTTCGGAAGCTGCACAGCATCCAACCGCAAGACCCTGCAGCGCATAGTGAGGAAGAGAGGATCATCTGTGCCTTACTCCCATCACTCCCATAGTGAACACTGCTGAGAGGATCATCGGTGCCTCACTCCCATCACTCCCAAAGTGAACACTGCTGACAGGATCATCGGTGCCTCACTCCCATCACTCCTGGACCTCTACAACACCCGCCTCACCCGCAGAGCACTCAGCATTGTGGGTGACCCCACCCATCCCTCCACCTGCCTCTTCACCCTCCTGACTTCAGGGAGAAGGTTCCGCAGCCTGAGGTCGAGCACCACCCTGGTTCCTCAAGTGGTAAAAAAACAGTTTTTTCCACCAGGCTGTCAGGAGGCTGAACTCTCTCGCCTCCCTCCCCTCCCTCCCCCCTGCCCCCACTGGACTTTAACACCCCGCACACACAGACACTCAAATACAGCACCAGACACTTGTTTACGCTTCTATGAACAGTCTTGCACTAATGTACATTCTCAAAGATATTGAAGTGACTGTTATTTTTGTATATATTGATTGTTGTGCTTTTATTTAGGTCTTAATGTGTGCATATGTATAAATGTGTCTTTGATTGTGTATAGGTATATACATATTTGCATACATATTTTTATATATAGTTGTTTTTGTATTCAGGATTGTGGGAAACGGTGCTTCGATCTCGCTGTCTGTACACATAAACTGAAAGATTGACAATTAAGTTGACTTTGACTGGTACCTGGTGAAGTGACAGTTCACCTCCTGGTACTGCCTAGGGGTCCCTGAGCAAGGCACCAGACCCCCAACTGCTCCATTGTGCAAAGCTATGGAAGCCCCTTCACCTTCACCTCTCCATCAATACATGTTTTTTTTGGATGTGTGTATTTTTGGCCTAATTTGTATATCCTGTTTGCATGTGTGTGTTTGAGCTGTAACCAGTGATGGAAAAAAACAAAGTAAAATGCACTCAAGTACTGTAGTTGAATAAAAAAGTAATTATTTTAAAATGGCTAAATAAAAATAATCAATACATCCATGCATAGCTAATTATGATATAATATACAGTACATTATTCTAATAATGGTCACTTTGGACTTTAAGTATGAGTAATTTGACACTTAGGTATATTATGTTTATATTATATTACTACTTTTGTAGCCTTACTTAAGTAATATTGTGAATTCAGGACTTTTACCTGTAACAGAGTATTACTACACTGTGGTATTATACATTTGACTTAAAGGTCCCCTATTATAGGCCTACTGTTTTTCATCAATATATTATAGGTCTCAGATATATACAAACATGTCTCTGAAGTGTTTGGCTCCAAACACCAAACAGATCATTGCAGCATTACCCATAATCCCCTCTGTTTCAGCCCTGTTTCCAAAGTACTGATTCTCTGTCTGTTACTTTAGATGAAAATAAGGAGCCCCTCCCCACGCCCCTCTGAGAGACATTTGGTTACAAAGAACACAATGGTGCTCTAGGAGGAGATTCAGTTGATAAGGTGTAATCGTTATGACATCATAAAGCGGCCAAAATCTGATCAGCTCATTTTCAGACAGGTTTTTATAGAAATGGATCAGGACAAAAAGAGAGAGAATCTTTGTTCCTGAAACTTTCAGAATCTCTTTCCACAGAGGGGACACATGTTGATGTAGAAGAGACATGAAGAAGAGGGGACACATGTTGATGGAGAAGAGAGATGAAGAAGAGGGGACACATGTTGATGGAGAAGAGACATGAAGAAGGGGGGACACATGTTGATGTAGAAGAGAAATTAAGAAGAGGGGACACATGTTGATGTAGAAGAGACATGAAGAAGAGGGGTATGAAGATATGAAAAGGTGGATTTTGCATAATAGGTCCCCTTTAAGAACAACATCTGAATATTTCTTCCACCTCTGGCTGAAACTGTGTAAAACAGAGAGAAACCTGGAGTAAGCCTTCTTTAAATACTCATGTATTTAAAGCCATTAAATATCTTAAGGCAAACCACATGAAAGTACCATTTCATCCAACACATCTTTAGTCCCGAGACCAGACAGACCTGTCGCTCTGCGTCATCATAACAACTCCATGATGTGTAATGACTCCATGGTGTTTAATAATAATGACTCCATGGTGTGTAATGTCTACCGCATAGTGATGGGGGAGCAGCAGAAACCTCTACTCTGCTCTGAATGATGTCACAGCCCTTAATCCGCAGCCAAAGATTAGCGAAGCCGGATCTACACCAAACCAGGACTGTGCTCTATAACCGTCTTTATACATCAATAATGGCTCACAAAGCCATGTAAACTTCACTCCGGTTTGCCAAAACACCACCGAAAATATTGTGTGTCAATCCATTTGACTTACATTTGAGAGGCAAGCCGCATGGTCTGTGCGTCCATGCGCATTGCACTACCCAACATAAAGTTGAATACATCTTCATCGGCATTCATTACCATCAACATAGAGAAAGAGACATAATGCAAGCCGCCTTGTTCCTCAAGTCCTCATCTGTTGTGGTACAACCCGTCATTCACTAGGCCTACTTTACATGCTTTTGAACGAATTAACAACAAATCAAGTATGAATTATATGTCAACATGTCAGTATGAAAGTACAAATATACTTAGAAATATAATAAACTCACTTTCTCCGACAATGGCTTTTAGACCAAGTGGTGCCATGATGCTGCGTGTTCTCGTCCTCACTGACTGACGGGCCACCTGCTGTCAGGCTCTGTGCGATGAGCACCGCACTTCCGGTCCGATTATTCCAAAATAAAAGCCCTGTGATATATTTACTTCCGTAAACATAAGTTTGCAGAAACTATGGAGGGGAAGTTCATTTAAGTAGCCTACATTTCAGAGCGGGTTTATCGTTACCCTGACTTTATGATCTTTCGGGTGTGTCGCCCATATTCATGTTATGAGCAACGCTGATTAAACGCCACACGTTATCACACCCTCCGATCTCGTGTCACACACACACACACACGCCCGCACACACACACACACACACACACACACACACACAATGGTGTCGGTGGGGATTTCTTTACTCGGTGGACGCTATTTTAATTAGGTAATCCCAAACAATGCCACAAGTGTGCATGCGCGCAGTGCCATGATACAACGGGCAGAGAGGTCTACAGAAACTACAGGTGTGCTGCTTATTCCTACTTTACTGTAGGTCCTCCTACTGCAACAAGCAGACGGCGCTGCGCTCAACACACACACAGACTCAAAACCATGGACACACCGGCACATAAATTA